CCTACCCTACCACAAATCTTGTTCGTCTTTAAGGTGCAACTGGACTTTTGCTCTTTTCTACATTTTCTGCAGGGGAAATGATCCCTGTAGTTTAGAGAAGAGCCTTAATTCCAAGAGACCCACCCCACCCCCCACAGGCCAGCATCCCTAGAGTGATAGGTGTGGGGGGGGATACTTCCTAAAAGCAAAGATGTAGTAAAAGGCTTAGTCTTTCTTAATATGGTTCAGACATTGAGACATTTCAATCCTTTCCTTCCCATCCCCCTCTTTGATCAAACTGCCCTCCCTTACGCCGATGAAAGGGTAAATAGGCGCTGAATGAGCCGCAGACAGCACTAAATCTAGGGCAGTGATGGCGAACCTTTTAGAGACCGAGTGCCCAAACTGCGACCCAAAACCCACTTATGTTTCGCAAAGTGCCAGCACAGCAATTTAACCTGAATACTGAGGTTTTACTTTAGAAAAAACAACTCATACATTAACCTAAGATGATCCAAACACAGTAAGGGAAGCAATCCCAAATGCTTTCATTTACTTAAAATTATTTGGCAGAGAATTCGACACTTTAATGATGGTCTGGGCCTGGCTGGGGCGATGGCACGCGTGCCCACAGAGAGGGCTCTGAGTGCCACCTCTGGCACCCGTGCCATAGGTTCACCACCACTGATCTAGGGTTACCAGAAGTCCTCTTTTCAGAAGACATGTCGTCTTTTTTTGGTGTCCTCTTTTGGGATGAAAATGTCCTCTTTTTGGGTTGGAAGGTTAGGAATATTCCTCGTTAGTAGCAATTAAGGTAAAGGTAAAGGTTTCCTTGCTCGAAAGCCAGTCGAATCCGACTCTAGGGTTGTGGTGCTCATCTCCGTTTCCAAGCCGAAGAGCCAGTGCTGTCCAAAGAAATTTCCATGGTCATGACTAGACACCGAGGCTCACGGAACGCTGTTACCTTCCCACCAAAGCAGTACCTGTTTATCTACCTGCAACTTCTTGCTTTCGAACTGCTAGGTTGGCAGGAGCTGGAGCCAGAGAAGGGAGCGCACTCTGTCACGCGGCACTCGGGTCTCAAACTCAGGTCTCAAACTGCCGGGCTACTGACCAACCGCTCAGCGTCTTAACCTCTGAGCCACCATGGCCCCTGCTTAGTAGCAATTATCACGACTTAAAAAGTAGGGGTGTTTCAAATGAGATTTGTCACAGCGATCACTTGTTTGAAGTAGTCAGTCGAGAAATATGTCCTCCTTTCTGCTTTTCAAAACATGGTAACCCTAACTAAATGTGTTTATGGTTGCCAACTGGCTTATTATATGAGGCTTATTGGGATATGATTTAGCTTCACACCAAGAGAACGTTCAGCTCGCGATTTGCCTCTGTTAAAGAGACACGACCTGTTCCTCCAGGCCAGTTGGCATCCCTTAATATATGCAATGCGCCATGACTGATTTCAGATGCTGGATATATTGTATTCCTGCTTTTGACTTTAGAAGAAGAGATTGGATTTATACCCCACCCTTCACTTGGAGTCGCAGAGTGGCTTACAATCTCCTTTCCCTTCCCCTTCCCACAATAGACACCCTGTGAGCCAGTTTGGTGTAGTGGTTAAGTGCGCGGGATCTAATCTGGGAGAACTGGGTTTGATTCCCCACTCCTCCACTCGCAGCTGCTGGATGACCTTGGGCAAGCCATAGTTCTGATAAGAGCTGTTCTTGAAAAACAGCAGTGTCTGTCAAGAGCTCTCTCAGCCCCGCCTACCTCCCAGGGTGTCTGTCGTGGGGAGGGGAAGAGAGAGGAGGTGGTGAGCAGTCTTGAAGCAGCGGCAGTCTTGAAGCAGCGGCAGTCTTGAAGCAGCGGCTGGACAAACAGTTGTCAGGGATGCTGTAAGCTGAAACTGCATTGAGCAGGGGGTTGGATTAGATGGCCTGTATGACCCCTTCCAACTCTGTGACTCTATGATATGATTCTATGAGTCACTGCTCACTTCTTCAGACCAAGAAGTGAGCCATGACTCACGAAAGCTCCTCCCCTGCCAGGGGTCATTTCCTGCAGGAGCGCACAGGAGTGGAGCTCCGGCAGAAAAGAGCCCAGGGGGCGGGCACATGCAACAAGCCCCACCCCCTGCTCCCAGCAACCCTCCGTCAGAGCAAGACGCAGCCAGGTAACTTGCAGAGCCCCCCCCGCCCCCCAGCCCAAAACAGTCCAATGGCACTTTTAAGACCAAGTTTTCTTCAGGTACAAGCTCTCCCTCCTCTGTGAGGACAGATCTGCACGTTCCCCCCCCAATAGCTAGCAATCCAAAACAGTCCTGTGGAGCCTGAGTGGAGGGTGTTGCCTTCTGACACACTTCCGGTGATGTCAGGGGGCGTGGCATAGGCAAATAAGCTATGCGAATGAACTCCTGCACCTCTTTTTCTACGAAATGACCCGTGTCCCCTGCCATAAATTTTGTTAGTCTTTAAGGTGCTCCTGGACCCTTGCTCTTTTCTACGACTACAGACCGACTCACGCAGCTACCCATCTTGATCGATGACTAAAACTGAAGGTGAAACATTGAAGTGAAAAACTTTAAAAACCTCTCTGTTCGTCTGCTTGTATTCATACAACTGAAAGCATGACTGTACGTTCCCCAGATCCTGCGCCTATGCTGTCTCATGAGGTAGTGGTTAGGTTGTCTGGTTCAGATCTGACACACCGGGGGTTCAAATCCTCACTCAGGCCAGAGTGCCCTCAAGTAGCCTGTCACTCAGAGTACCTCGCAGAATTGTTGTGTGGCCAAAAATAGGGGAGAGCTACAAATGCTGCCCTGAGCCGAGCTCCTTGGCGGAAGCGTGGATTAAGCATGGGCTTCATCGGTGCCTACCCTCCCTTTTCGCCAATCCGTCGAGGACGGAACAGTGTTGGTACGCACGTGGGATTGAACTGATACAGTCCACTGAATGCGGGCTGTATCGGAGAATTCCAGGCTGGCCTTCAGGTGAATAATGTTCCCATATATTTGAGTCTGTCTGTCTATGGTCCAGTTTGCATTGGTATTCCCCACCGTTGTGCCAATGATCTCACATCGTCTCACTGTAGTGTATTCCAAAGCTGCCATGGAATACAGAAATCAGAAATAAATAAATAAATATTGTAATCTTATATGGATTTGTGCTGTCATGCCAATAAGGGCATTGTGATTGTGAGAGAGAGAAAGAGAGACAGAGAATGCTTTTTGCCTGGAAACTGTTCAATTCATTTTAACACGCTCAGCAATGCTCTGGGTGCGCTTTTTAAGGCTGGGTTTTAATTAACAACTTGTAATTTCAGACACAAACGCTTCTGTCCCAGTTACGAAATGGGGCTGAAGTGTTTTACCTGTCAACCGCTTCCAAGTAGTCTTCAGTTTCCTCTCCCAGTTCCAATGTGCTTTTTCCCGCCGTTTTTCACCCGTGCGGGCGATCTCCGGCTTTTTTTTTTTGCACATTCGTTTTATAGCGTTATAGTGCTATAACGCCATAATGGAACAGCATTATATCAACCCCATTGGAATGCCTGGAGTGTTTTGTTATAGTGCTATAGCGCTATAAAGCTAACGTTCCCCCCCCAAAAAAGTCGGAGATTGCCTGCACAGGTGAAAAATGGCAGGGAAAAAGCGGTGCAGTCTGAAATGGCAAACCCTTAAAGTTCGGTATTCTTATTGCGTTTTACGGGACGAGCCACCTTTGGCAGGTCCCCAGGAGAGGTGGCATAAGAACATTATAAAGACGTAGTGTGGGTCGTTCCCACAGGTTGAGAGTGGATGCTGAATACATAAAGTAGCATGGGACTGACTTTTCAAAGTCAACTTGCGGGGGCCTTATTTAAAAAAAAGACCTCCAAAAGGTCCTGTCATTCATAGGCCTGCAAACGGAGGGCCACGGTTTCCTTGATTGAGTCGATCCGTCTCATGTTGAGTCTCCTTCCTCTTTTCCTACTGCCATCAAGTTTCCCTAGCATTATTGTCTTTTCCAGTGAGTCCTGTCTTCTCATAATATGACCAGAGTACTATATCCTCAGTTTAGGCATCTTACCCTCTAGGGATAGTTCAGGCTCGATTTGATCCAGAACCCATTGACTTGTCTTTTTTGGCAGCCCACAGTGTCCGTAAAACTGTCCTCCAACACCACATTTCAAAGAAATCAACTTTTGCTCTGTCAGTGTTGTTCATTTGCCCAGCTTTCACTCCCATGCATAATAATTGTTGTTGTTGTTCAGTCGCACAGTCGAGTCCGACTCTTCGCGACCCCATGGACCAGATCACGCCAGGCCTTCCGGTCTTCCGCCGTCCTCTGACGTTTGCTCAACTTCATGTTCGTTGCATCTATGACACTGTCTAACCATCTCATCCTTTGCCGTCCCCGTCTTCTTTGACCTTCCATCTTTCCCAGCATCAGGGTCTTCTCCAGTGAGGGATCCCTTCTCATTGGGTGGCCAAAGTATTTGAGCTTCAGTTTCATTATCTGGCCTTCCAGGGAACAGTCAGGGTTGATTTCTTTGAGGATTGACTGATTTGATCTTCTTGCAGTCCAAGGGACTCTCAAGAGTCTTCTCCAGCACCACAGTTCAAAAGAATCTATTCTTCAGTACTCGGCCTTCCTTATAGTCCAACTCTCGCAGCCATACATGACTACTGGATAATAATAGGGAATACTATGACAGGAATTAACTTGATCTTCGTCGCCACTTATTTGTCTTTGTAGCGGTCCAGAAACTGGCAGAACTGTCCACTCGGGGCTAAGCTTACCCATAGGGTGTTCACCACAGGTTCATGCCACTTCCTGCAAATGACTGCTAATAACTCTTGGGCAGAAACATGACTTCCTGGAGGGAGTGCAGCTAACACCTGAGGAGAACCGTTTTGAGCCCTTTGCAGGCTCGAAAGGCTGGTGGTGGGGGCGGTGTTAGATAGTCTGACTGAACTGGTGACAAGTCTCAGATGGTTATCGAAAGCCTTTCTTCTCATCTGACATTAGTCAGACGGAGGTCTTTCGGTGAAGGAGAGAAAACTCCTGCCCTCTTAAGACCATTAAAAAGACATGAACCGCTTTTGGCTGGGATTGCTTGTTCTGATGTGGAGAACTTTCCAATCCACTGAAGGGGCCAGAGGTAAGACCCGACCCGATGGTTGTTGGCATCGAGCAGTTAAAATACATGCAATGTATTCTAGACGGTTTGAATCCAGACATTGCTCCAATGTCATTTAGAGTAAGTGTCTTAATTACAGTCCGGGTTTCAAATTCTGCCAGGAAGCTCTATTGGTGACCTTGGGCCAGTCATTTCCTCATTCTGTCCTACCCCACAGGGTGGCTGTGGAGATAAAATGGGAAGGGGAGGATGATGTGTGCTGCTCCAAGCTCCTTGGAGTGGGCGGGGTAAAAAATGAAATGATTAAGCGAAAGAGGACATGGCTTCCAGAAATCTGATTTTTAAAGGTCTGCAAAAGAATTGGCAACTTCCCCCCTCACTGTAGCTCCAGAACAAGGAAAACTATCTTTGCGGCATCTCTCCGTGCTACACAGTTGTTCATGGATCTGGCACATTTGTCAAAAGGACTGGTAATTCTTGGCGGAAATGTGACCTCTAAGGAAGTCCGGAAGACCGCTGACCTCAACTTTTGAAAACGGACAAGCCTTTTATCCTTCTACTGAGCCTTTCACTTTTTAATTGTCAGTTGGTTGCCTCTGCTTCCTGTTTGGTGTAGTGGTTAAGTGTACGGACTCTAATCTGGGAGAGCCGGGTTTGATTCCCCACTCCTCCATGTGCAGCTGCTGGTGTGACCTCGGGTCAGTCACAAGTTCTCTCAGAGCTGTTCTCTCGAGAGCAGTCCTCTCAAGAGCTCTCTCAGCCTCACCAACCTCACAGGGTGTCTGTTGTGGGGAGGGGAAGGGAAAGGAGTTTGTAAGCCGCTCTGAGACTCCTTCGGGTAGTGAAGGGCGGGGTATAAATCCAATCTCCTCTTCTCTCTTCTTCTTCTAAGTAGACTTTAGAAATGTAGATACTTTACCTGCTGGAACTCCTTGTTATTCCATAAGCGTAATCTCTGCTGAAGGGCGGGGTATAAATCCAATCTCTCTCTTCTCTCTCTATTAGTTCTTGTGTGTTCTGTGATGTTCTTTTAACTCTTTAGTGTCAACCAAACTGAAAACTTTATGTCGAACAGTTGTATATCGACACTGCAAATAAATCAATATTGAACTACAAAATGTTTACCCTGCCCTTTGTCCGAGGAGTTCATAAGAACATAACAGCCCTGCTGGATCAGACCAGGGGTCCATCTAGTCCAGCCTCCTGTCTCACACAGTGGCCAACCAGTTCCTCTGGATGGCCAACAACAGGGCAGGGAGGCCGATGCCTTCCCCTGAGGTTGCCTCCTGGCTCTGGGATTCAGAGGATTAGTGCCTCTGAATGTGGAGGTTCCCCTCAGCCACCAGGGCTAGTAGCCATTGATAGACTGATCCTCCATGAATCTATCTAATCCCCTTTAAAGCTATTGATTCCTGTGGCCATCACTACATCCTCTAGCAGTGAACCCCACATTCTAATCACTCTCTATGTAAAGTGGTATTTCCTTTTCTCCATCCTGAACCTGCTGCCCATCAGCTTCATTGGATACCCCCGAGTTCTAGTCTTTTGGCGGAAAGTTCTCTTTCTCAACTCTCTTCACCCCAGGCGTAATTTTATAAATCTCGATCATGTCCTTCCTTGGTTGTCTCTTTTCTAAACTGAAAAGTCCCAGAAAGTTGCTCCAACCCCCTCATCATCTTGGTTGCCCTCCTCTGTCCTTTTGCCGGGGTAGCGTCAATGGCTCCCCCGTCTTCCATCTTATCCTCACAACAATCTTGACAGGTAAGTTAAACGGACAACGTATTGCATGCCGTCACTGGCAGCAGCTCTCCGGGATGCCGTGCTTCTTACCCATCTGGCAATGGAGGGAATTGAACCCGGGACCTTCCGCGCTCAAGGCAGGTGCTCTTCCACTGAGCCACAGCCCTTCCCCAATGGAAAGTGACGGGCCCAAACTCATCCAGTGAGCTTCGTGGTTGAATATGGATTCGATCAGGGCTTTTTTTGTAGAAAAAGCCCAACAGGAACTCATTAGCATAATTGGCCACACCCAACAGCAGAAACTCATTAGCATATTAGGCCACACCCCTGACAGCACAGGTCATTCGCACATTAGGCCGCACCCCCATGTTACCAGAAATGTGGTCATCCAGCCACACCCACCTTTTGCTTCTTATTCTGTTTACCTTGTCTGTTGTCAAAACCCAGGAACTCCTTTGCATGTTAGGCCACACACCCCTATTGTAGCCAATCCTAATGGTGTTTCTGCTGTTGGGTGTGGCCTATTATGCTAATGAGTTCCTGCTGGGTGTGGCCAACTCGGGAGCCAGCCGGAACTCCGTTCCTGTGCGTTCCTGCCCCAAAATAGCCTTGGGTTCGATACCTCAGTTGTGTACCTATGTTTCTTGGGAGCGATGTCTGCTGCTACAGGAATAGCTGCTTCTTACTTCTCTGAGCTCCAGCTGTGTCAGTTTTAGCCCGCCCTTCCGCAAAGGAGCATCTGGTGGGGTAGACGGTTCTTCCCTCCCCCTGTTTTATCTTCACAACAGCCCTGTAAGGTAGAGGTTAGACTGACCTAGTGCAGCCCACTGGGTCTCACCCACGTGTGGGTGTCTGTGCAGTCTCTTCGGTTTTGCATTTTAGTCTTGTGCGGTTCTAATTTTGTATCCTATTGGCGAACATTGGTGGGATAGCATTGGTGGTATTTAAAAGTATACCCTTGTCCTGGGCTTTGCTGAGTCAAGCGCTGGTTTCTCCTACCAGAAGAGATCACCTACTCTTGCAGGGAAAAAATACGGGGAGTATTGAAGAAGAGAGAGAAGAGATTGGATTTATACCCCGCCCTTCACTACCCAAAGGAGTCTCAGAGCAGCTTACAATCTCCTTCCCCTTCCCCTCCCCACAACAGACACCCTGTGAGGTAGGTGGGGGCTGAGAGAGCTATTTCGAGGACTGCGAGTGAGAGAACAGCTCTGAGAGAAGATGTGACTGACCCAAGGTCACACCAGCAGCTGCATGTGCAGGAGTGGGGAATCAAACCTGGCTCTCCCAGATTAGAGTCTGCCGAGGGTAGTTCTCATTTCACTAGGCTGGGAGTCTTGGGGGTTGGGTGGGGTGGTAAAGGGACTTCTCTTAAGCTTGGGAGAATTGCAAGAGGCATCCTCTGGATGGATGCACATTGCATTGTCTGCATCCTCCAAGCCCAATGTATGCACAAGATCCTTAAAGGAGGGGGGCTCCCTCTTCACCCCAAAAAAGCTGTGGAGGAAATGAGCCCGCCCCCAAAGAAGGTGACCTCCTTCTGCACCAAATTCCCCACCTTTCCCATGTGGATTCCCCACAGCTCTCAGTTTGTAGAGCTGTATTTCAACCATCTTCCTGATAGGTTGTCCCCTGCTTTTCCATGTTAGAAATGTTAAAGCTGGAATACCAGGATTCCTAATAGGCTAGGAAACTGAAACACAACATATTTACAGAGTCCAAAAAGAGAAGACTCTAAAGCATCTGGATTTTTAATTCTGGGGATGAGCTCCAAAGAACATAACCTTCTTCCTGAGAGGTTGGCCACATTTTTCCGAGTTGGAAATATGAAATCTGAAATACCAGGATTCCTGATAGGTTAGGAAACTGAAATGTGACACATTTTCAGTCCAAAAAGGGACAACTCTGAAGCATCTGGATTTTTAATTCCCGGAATGAGCTCCAAAGAACATAACCTTCTTCCTGACAGGCTGGCCACGTTTTTCCAAGTTGGAAATATGAAAGTTGAAATACCGGGATCCCTGATAGGCTAGGAAACCAAAACATTACACATTTTTAGTCCAAACATGGACAACTCTAAAGCATCTGGATTTTTAAAATTCTGGGCACGACAGGACATATACACACCCCATTATTAGACAGTGTATGCATGCCACCTCAAAAGTGTGTGCTCCCTTGTGGCTTGTCCTATTAGCTCCCAGTGAAATCCTTATCAGTTCTATTGGACTCCTTGCCACAAATAGCCTAACAAGAAATGGTCGGCCAGGAGGCGATACAAGATGTGACTGTATCACCTGAATGGTCCGGTTTTTCCCCCTCCCGTCTTCTTTCTGCAGTCCACCAGCAGGTTGTGGCTTCTGCAGCGACAACTTTACTCGAAATGATTAACCGCACACCTTAACCGCAGGGGAGAAAATGAAAGTATTACAAAATGTAAAAGTGCTTGGCGAGCAAATGTCCTCTGCAGCCCAGACGTGTGTTTGTTCAGGCTTCAAACGTTTCTTTCGAGCAGGTGGGAGATGGGAATCACCTTGTCTCTGGTTCTTGACATGCTCAACCTTTTAAAACACGGGGTTGTCCCATCTCTCCCCTCACCCTAGCTCCCCGAAACCACAACCAACTGTGAAGGGAAACTGTATTAAATGACTCAGAAGAGGTTCTCAGAAGAAGAAAAAAAGGAAATCACCTTGAGAACTGATGAGTGTAATTTAATGGTTAAGAACATAACCATTATATGGCCATATATGGCCGGGGTCCGACATACCTAAGGGACCGCCTTTCCCCATATGTTCCCTTACGGGCACTACGGTTGGGGACGCAACATCTCCTGGTGATCCCAGGCCCCAAGGAGGCCAGGCTGGCTGCAACCAGGGCCAGGGCTTTCTCGGTGGCGGCTCCTACCTGGTGGAATGAGCTCCCGGAAGAAACCCGGGCCCTGCGGGACCTTGCGCAGTTCCGCAGGGCCTGTGAGACAGAGCTCTTCCGCCAGGCTTTTGAGTAGGAGCCGCCACTACCTTACCATCATTACCAACTGGCCCTGGGAGGAGAGAACGACAGCGCTGCGTGCAGCTGATGCCACCGACTTAGAAGTACTATCTTCAAGACGCCATCTTTTTACTGAACTTTGTTCCGAAACATCTAGAGCACTTATAAAGTTGTAATATTGTATTGATAGTTTTATGTGGTTTTAATCTGTTTTTATGTATTGGCTTATACCCCACTTGTGAGCCGTCCTGAGCCCGCTTGCGGGGAGGGTGGGCTATACATTAAAATAATAAATA